CCAGCATGCTTTGCTGATAGCCAACGATGTATGCTGGAAGCGGGTTATCCACATAGTTTCTATCAAGTGCACGTCACTTCCGGTGACACGCCCACCCCAACTCACCGATATCGATTATATGTCTGTGTGTGGGGGGGGGTTCTACGTTTGTCACGAAATTCATAGCGCGCTTCGCTGCAACAATGGAACGCTGTAATTTTAGTATTATGTAGGGGCCAGGACGGGAACACATTTGGTGGGGGTCAAAAAGTGATAGCGACTGATAAGAGCTGATATAGATTCGCGTTAGAACGCAAATTCACAAATTCAAAGCGCACGTCTTAGCAGCAATTAGGCGTCAACAAGTTATGGGGAGGGTAGGACGGGAACATATTCGGTGGAAGGAGCCGAATATGATAACAGCTGATAAGGGCTGGTAAGGGAGCCAAAGTGTCAACAAAAAGTCATCAAACGAATATCTCGCGTGTCACAGCAGCAGTAGAGCGTTGGGTTTTTCAAATGATGTAGAGTGTGGGACGGAAACATGTTTGGTGGTGGACCGAGAATGATAGCAGTTGATAAGCGTCGATAGTTATCATGTAAGTAAGAACATCAGGTCACCTCAAACCTAATGTCAGACAAGTATCCATCCATTTCATTTATGTTTCATTTGCGTTCCATCGTGAGCACCATACTTCCTTCGACCGCTACTTTGCCCGAATTTACTGGCGAATGTGTGTAGAGGCCGTCTGAAGAAATACGATAATGATCAATGTGCATTTCTGCTCCAACATCATTAGCAATAAATGTTAACTGACCGCTAAATCACGCTGACATTCAGGGCATGATGGTTGTTTACATTCAGCATCACTTCTGCAAGCTATCGCGCGTATCAAGCGGTGAGCTTCAGCAGAAGTGGGAAGGCTGTGAGAAGGTCGGCTAGGGAATTTAGCGGTGATACGTAACGTGATGTTAAGTTTCACGGAAGCCTACCGCTTCATGTGAGGGGCAGCGTGCGGAGGTAAACTGTTAATGTTATACACTCAGTCCGACCACTTCTTAACATTCCACCACTGGACTGCTCAATGAATCGTGCCTTTCTCTTCGAAATCCAGTTATCTAAGCAGAACTCGTAGTTACAGCTGCCTCGTTAATCTGGCCTCGAAGTTCTCAGCTAGTGATTATAGAAGGGATGCAATGTGTTTTTCAGAGCAGGTAAACCTTTTTTGAGTGGGCAAAATATCATGTGAAAAACCTAAGATTTCAAGAAAATTTCATTCGAAATAACGAAGCAACTTATCGGGCGACCTAATAAAAACAGCACAGGCGGCTTATACAATAGAATGATCGAATTTTCATAACTAACAAAAGTAGTAGCTCGATTTATGAAAGAGCATGGAACCCCCGAATCATTTTCTTTTTTGCAGATTTGGCAAATAAGATCGTTAACGGCACCTCTTTCATATTCATCGGCTTGAGAGATGGGCTATCATGGGAGGATGGATCTTCAACGAAACATGCTAAGAGCATAGGATCTTCTGAAGCTACTGGAAAATGCTACTTTGTGGGTTCTATTTCCTTTTATGCTCAACATGAACGCAGCAGTGTGTCATCAGCAGGGTCAAGCATAACGTAGCGTACAGTACCGGAATGTTACCCTAACACTACCTGAACGAATTCGGCTTAAAGGAAGCGATTACGATAAGGAATTTCCGCATTGGGGGAAAATCTGCGCCACACGTAGCAATTACTTGGCTGCCAAGGAAGCGATGTGTGGCCTTCCCACGGTGAAAGGTGCTGTGATTGCTGAGCGGGACCCACGTGATGCCCCGCCCCCAGTGACGTGCGCCCACTAGTTTTGTAGACGATTTGGATGGACTGATTGCTGTTGGCTTTTCATTTTGGATGATCATTTCCCTTCTAGCGGCTGTATCCCCAACTTGCCCACGTATTGCCTTATCAATCAAAACACTGTGCTTGTGGCATGATGGCGGCTATTGGGGTTAACACGTCCGAACAACGCCGTTCTTTACCGTCGCTCATCCATGGTCGAAAGTGAAAGGGCAGTCAAAGGGGTACTATTTTGCTTATTCTTGAAGGACTTCTTTGCTTCCTTCGCTATTGGCGTACTATTGAGACCCTCACGTCCCCCCCCCCAAATCCCTGTGAGATCTATCGTAATCGCTGCCTTCAAAGGAGATGCGAATAATAGGAGTACTGAATATTATTTTCCTCGCTTCTGTCTAGATTTAGAAAGCGTTGTTCATTGGAGAAAACCGAAAATCCTGCGCTGGTTCAAGGTAGGGTTTTCTTAAGAGCAATAGATTTTTGGCAAAACTGCAGATGGATCTAAAGATAACCAGAATTGCACTTTTTTGGAGTACCAAAACTATGCAATAAATGAAAAAGACTTCTTGCTCTCTTGCATTCATCACAGGCTACGCAGCAGGGTCGTTGCGCAACTTTCAAATATTTACATCCCCACCCTCCTTTCGGATAGCATCACGACACACCTGAATTAGCTACTTACGTCTTTCTACATATTTTTATGCCCATCATCCACATTCGGGCAGTCATCGACATGGAAGGAATTGGTGGGCAGTAGGAAATTGATACGTCGCGCACATCTTCTCGGTTTCTTTGTCCTGGAGAGGATGAGACTTGAGGCGACGTCAAATTTTACTCACTCAATAAAGATAATTTTCAATATTTCCCACAGACTTATGTATTTTCGTGATCGCAGAAAACTCTACTTTCAGAAAAGTTTTCTTCGACCTTCTAAAACTCAAACTTCTGCGAGGGTCAGTTTCTCACTTCTTGCAAAGTGAGAAACTGACCCTCGCAGAAGTCGCAAACCTCTGATTAAAAAGGTTATATCTTCTTTTGAGAGCAATCTCATGGGAAGTGAATCAAAAACTAGGAAAATTCATACCATTTTCTTTCTGAAAAGTGTTTGAACTGCTGGAATATCCAAATTTTCACAAAATTGCCCATTTGTTCCGTTTTATAAACATGCTAGTTTTCAACATTCAGACGTTCAGTTCTTTCTCAAAAATCGTTCGAAAAAATGCAAGATCGCTTTTCAAAGATCATTCACTCAAAAAACAGCCGCATTACTCGGTTTTTCAAGTGTTCGTGGTTCGATTTTTCGAAACCCTCAAACTTTCACGTTTTGAACGTCCGTAACTTCCTTCATAATTACCTCTTTGCAGATCGCTGATGCCGTTTAGAAACGAGAAGACTAGAGCCCACAAAGAATATGTCAAATCCTTTTGAATGGTCACTCTTCCAAAAATAGTCCCATTGTTCCATCTTTAGAGTCCATGGCTTATTCAAATCATTCTCCCGAAACGCGAGTTTCCATCCTTAACATGTCCATAGTTTCTTCAAAACTGGCATAATGAAATGCAGTAAAAAGCAGAGAAAAGCTTTACTGCCCCACTCGTCCAGAACTGAGCCGCGTTTTTATCGAAATTTGTCCATGACTGTGGATTCGGCTGGAAACTTGCCTCCAGGGGTAACTCAACCCGTAGAACACGAATATCGCAATCGTTCACCGCTAGAACGCCTGGCGCTCGCGCCAGAAGCACCGGCACCAAAAGGCGCCGGAACATCTCGGATCACGAATTTGAACGCTTCTCTCCAGAGGTACTTTGACCCGTAGAACATGAATATCACGTTACATCGTTGAGAGTGAGCCTGTAGCCTGCGCTATGGGCGCCCGCGCAAAACTGTTGTGATAGCGCCGGCGCCTGCGCGGGCGCCAAGCGTTGTCGCGCCGAACTGATGTTATATTCGTGTTCTACGGGTCGAATTACCCCCGGAAATACCTTTCTAGCCAATCTTCAGTCATGGGCGAATTCGATCAAGATCCGGCTAAGATAAGTTCTTGAAGAGGGGCAGGAAAGGGTCAGTATAATAATATAAAGGCAAAAGTCGGGCTCAATGAGGGATATTACGCGATTGAAACTGAGTACAGAGATGTGAGGTGGAACGACAGTGGAGAAAAAACTAAGAAAAACCGTCGACAAGGCCGTAAACAGAACCCTCTTTCCCACCAGCAGTGAAGGAGATGGGCTTGAGGAAGAGGGGAATAAGGGGGAAGGGCTTGGGGAATACAAACAAGTTTTCTGGAGATGTCAGTCGTTCTATCAGTTGATACGGCAATCAACCTAGCGATTTCACCCAGTCATGCACCGCCATATCACCAATCCCGAGGTGGGCGGTCTAGCGGGGGCCAGGCGGCGATAGCGTATAGTACATGCCCTGGGGCTTATTGCTGCGCCGTTTCGGGTTTTGAGTGTGGGAATATCCTCTACGGGTGCGTAACCAAGTCAGGCATGACCGAAAGGGTTGTGGCCAACTAATCCGACCTTTGCATTTAAGGTTGAGAGATCGTTGTCAAACTGTTGACATTTGTCTTCATCAGGGGCCATGCTAGTGTGGTATAGGTTCCCAGGACAAAGCTCCTTATATCGTGTATTATATCGTGTTCTGATCCGGTCTCACAGCATGCGACATACAACCCCATCTTCGCAAACATTCACTAGTCATGGAAATGCTCACTACCGTCATATTGTCGCACTGAAGCGCCCTGTCCAAATAACGGCTTCTCTGTCCATATCCCCTTCCAGTGACGTCGTCCGAGCATCGAGATTGCCAGTCACGGGTGGTCGGGGTGGTAGGAGTTTGATCTTTTTCAACTAGAAAAGACGAACCCTGAATACATGGGCTGAGCAGTGACACCGTGCATTAATTGGCCATCGGCATCTTCTGCTTGATACTCTAACTCGTTTGGCGTTTGAAGACCCTAATCGGTGGTGATGAGATAGAAATCTCATGAATAAAGCTTCAAGAAAAAGTACATAGCCTACGGAAAGCAGCGTAAAGTTGGCGAAGTTCAGGCAGGCTGCTGTGGTGATACTGTGGATCATGGAACATGTATCACGCTATCGCCATTTTTCAGGTTTTTTTACGCAATGAATGTAAAATGATTAACTTTCTCGACCTAATACAATCACATCGACAGTGTTGGGATCGGTCTCAAGCGATGATGCGGAGGGGAATCCGCTTCCAGCGATCTTGAGCAATTGTGAATATCCTGGCCTAAAATAATCAGTTCAGCGCTTAGCTACTGATTATGACTTACCCCTCTGAAAAGATGGTGCCAAGCAAACGCCCATTCATGAGGTCAACGAATCTGTTACTATCCCATAAAACTTATTCAACTGAAACGTTCAAGTGAGTTTCACGTAGAATGGCTGAAGGTATAAAATTACGAATTTGGTACATTTCAAATTTGAAACTTTCGTGAGCAAATGGGCAGTGCGTATCTGATTGTCTTCATGTAACTAATTACAGTTCCATGATCAAAAGGATTATGGAGAAGAGCTTTCACCCCGTATGCGCCTGTAGTAATAAGGACGTCGACCACATGGACTTATTGTTTGCCAGAAAGTGATAGTGGATAATTTTTGTGCATCCTCATCATAAATGATTTTGTTTGTTCGTTTGACCCCAGAAATAAGAACACTACATAACGAATAACGCTAAATGGAAATAACGAAAAAAAGGAGTTTGGTCACTCGCGCTGGTTTGACACCACTCTATTGACACTCCTCCGGGTTGTGCCGAGATAGTGAAGATTACTGAAGAGCTGCGGCTCATTTCACCTCTCCGATAATTCCTACAAGAGGTTAAACTTTGAAACGTATCGGACAGACTGAAACCAAATTTGCAATCGGAGTATGCCTAAACAGTCTTTATCAGTTGTTATCGCTTTCATTCATGCACCACCAGTCCCGGGACCACCCCACATAACAGTTGTAAGTATAGATGCTCTAGTACCGATATGAACGACAAAATGAAATTGGCGACGCTCGCTTCTAGCCCCTCTATCAGCTACTATCAGTCGTTATCAGTTTCTATCATATACCACTTGTGTCCCCATCCAACCCCTATGACATATGTGAGAACCATGGCGCTACCATTGCTGTGACCAAGCTACGATTCTCCGGTCAAACCACACACACACACGGACACACCAACAGACACACTTAGCCGGTTATATATAGTAGGATAAGACAGTGGCTACGTGCGGAGGGAATGTCGTCGTGACTATGGGAAGATCAATCGCTTTCCTCATCAAGTCCTCGTCTTCCTTTCCGGTCTATTCTCTAGGACAACATTGGTAGGATACTGTTATTCCAATGCTTCCATTGTTGTAATTGTGCATAAGTATCCTACTATATATATAATTCGCTAAGTATGTCTGTGTGTGTGTGCCGCGCCTGTTTGTCACGAACTCATAGAGCGCTTCGCTGCAAATATGGACCGCTGTTATTTAGTATTATGTAGGGCCAGGCTCGTACATGGTTCTACCTTGTCGTGGTGTAACGGGCTTGAGGCGAGGCCGGAAACCCGCAAGGGTAAGGTCCCGCCGAAACCTTCTGACCGGCCTCTCTGACTAAAGAACCCGAAGTGCTCAAGCTCCTGTAGACGGCGCCTTCCTTGAGCGACAGGACCCCCAGCAAGGCATCCTGTGAGACGAAAAGCTACGACCACTTCTACCACTCACCTTAGTCCCCGCAGACTGTTCCTGCCCAGTCCGGTAGCGCTGGATCAGCAACACAGATCGAAGCGATACTCAGGGCCGTAGATACCGTAGGAAAAGGCACAAGAATGAGCCATCTGATTACATGCACCTACCAATTGCAGGAGTGTCAGTACGGCCATTCAGCTCTCAACCTTATTTGAAGAACGCAAAGAATGAATTTCATACATGTGATAGGCTGAGCGAAACGAAGCGGAAAGAGCCCTTGACGTGCATATGGAGCGATGGAACCGTGTCTTCTCGGAGCTAGAGAATCAGGAACGCAATCAGGAGGAGTCGGATTTATAGTCGCAACCTGAGATTCACAAAAAAATGTCACGAGTGTCACGTTTCACAGTCATCGATTCGGAATCCTGACAGCAACTCTAACGAAGGACATCAGCGCTCTATCATTCAGGTGTAGCGCCCCAACGAGTGACAGTAACGAAGATCACCTGAGGACTTTTACGGTTGAACCTTGGCGAGCTAGTTCGATCACAGAAAAGCAAGTTATGTGGTGGTAATCTGGCGGACTTTAATGCACGAGTTGGGTCAAGACGACCACAAACATTTCATTGGACCACACAGTGAGCAGACAACGAAAACGCAGCTGGAGAAAGGCTGGCAAACCTTCTGCCGATATACCATATGTATCACGGGAATAGTCAGTTCGTTAAAGCAGTAAGGAAAAGATGGACATATGAGTCCCCGAATGGCAGCATTCCCCACGAACTCGCACATATCCTATGCAACAGAAGGGCCCTCACCGATGTTGGAGTAGTCCCATCATTCAATCCGGAAGCGATCATCGACTTCTACGCGCAAGACTGCACTTCGAACGAAGTCATGTGCGCCTGGCACGTATACGATCAAGACAACGCAGGCGACTATTTTTGAATACAGATGCGCTAAAGGCGTGGTAGACGACGTATCCTTGGACATGAAAAACAACATAAATGAGGACTATGACCATATACTAAACACAATCTCCACGCTTGCTTCACAAATCGCGGCATCATGGCCCCCAACCACAACTTCCATAGAATATCGGATAACACCCGAATCTTCTAGCGCAGAGGAGACAAATGGATCGACATCAAAATCATGTTGAATACACATTGCTTAATCGGCTCCTGCAGACAAAAACTCGCTGAAGACCACAGGAATTTCTACCGATGCCGTCTATTGGAAGCGCGCATCCAGCAAACGTAGCCTGAAGAAACAAGAGAGAGAGATGGCAACAATACCGCCTAAGATTTCTTGTCTGAAATCCCGATGGATTAAGAACTACGTCTCGGCCACAAATGAATCGATACTGACGAATTTCTATTCAAACCTTTTCAATTCAGATCACGGCACCTCCACTGAACAGTTACCAATCGGCGAAAGCGGCCTGATCGTTTTTACCATCAGAAGTTCGTTGCGCCTCGAAACAATGCGCGAGAGGAAGAGCTCCAGGAGCTGATGGTTATCCTTGGAGGCCTTACAAGCATGCGGTCATAAAGTTTATTGTGCTTTTAGCTCAACGTTTCACTCGTTACGTTCAAGATGCGAAGTTCCGCCGCATGGGAAAATCCAAACAATTCTGCTCTTGTAAAAAAGGAGATAAGGAAGACTTGGAGAACTATCGACCAATCACTGCTCCTACCAGTGATATACAAAGTGTTTACGCGATGCCTTCTTGCTCGAGTTAGAAAGAAACTAGACCGAAGCTCAGCCAATTGAACAGGCAGGATTTCGACGAAAGTTCAGCACTTTTGGATCACATTATCACCTGCTGTAGAATTATCGAAGCTGCTCGAGAATATCACGAACCACTGATACTAACGTTCATTGACTATCGAAAAGCATTCGATTCAGTAGAGCGAAGAAAGATATGGTGCAGCTCTCCAATGAACAAGGGCGTCGAACTCCGTTATACGAAAATCTTGAGTGAATGCTACTCGTGATGTAGCACAAATATTTCGACCGTTCTTTCGTGATTTAGAGGTGACTGTGGAAAAGGAGTCGCCAAGGAGAACCCATTTCCCCGAATCTATTCTCTGCTTGCCTGGAGTCGTACAATACGTAACTGCGATTGGCATGACACAGGAATCAAATTGATGGAAGAATATCTAAATCACCTAAGATTTGCCGATGACATAGTACTGATTCAAGAACTTCAGAACAAGCTTCACAAATGCTCAGTGACCTACATGCAGCAGGAACAAAGCCGTTTGAACATCAACATGATAAAACGAAGTGCATGAGGAATGAGTACTCAGACAGAGATCCTGTTTTCCTACAGGGTGAAGCTCTGAAGATGTCGATGAATATGTTTATTTTGGCCGACTGCTTAACATGAAAAACGATCTAAAAGGCGAAATAGTAAGGAGGAAAAAAGCTGGCTGGGCAACGTCCAATCAGTCAGGAATGTGATCGAAAATACCAGAGACGAAGAAACTGCGAGCAACCCTGTTCAACTCCACAGTACTACCAGCTCTGAGCTACGCTAGTGAAACTTGGTCCCTGACGAAAAATTTGGAAAACCCAGTTAAGAAGGATTCAAGCTTCACTTGAGCGTCGAATGGTTGGTGTAACCCTACATCAACAACGGATCGCCAGATTACACAACGAAGACATACGTTCGATGTCCAAAGTTCGCGATATCATTTCGCTAATCGACAAGGCAAAACACACCTTTGTGGACATCTTATTAGGCGAGACGACGGACGTTGGAGCACTACAACTGTGCGCTGGGAACCTCGCGACAGGAAACGACCTAGCGGTCGGCCCCTCTGCGATGGCAAGACTCTCTTGCTCACAGAAACAATATTTGCGATTCTAATTCAATTAAGGTATTAGTCCATTGGACGACATTGGCTCAAGATAGAGAACATCGTGGAAAAGAATTGGGACCCGCGCAAGAACAATCGCTGATAACGGCGTCGCCAAGTAAGTAGGGGCCAGGATGGAACATACTCGTAGGGATCAGAAAGTGATCACGATTGATAAGAGCTGATAAGAGGCGCTGAAAGACGACTTTCACGCAATTTACTGTGGTGTCCCAGCAGCAGAGAGGTGTTGGTTTCCATAAGTATGTAGAGGGTGGGACGGGGACATAGTTGGTGGGGGTCAAAATGTGATAACGACTGATAAGACTTGATAAGAGGCGGTAAACGCTAAATTTCACGAAATTTACTGTAGGTGTCCCAGCAGCAGAGAGGCGGTTTCGGCAAGTGATGTGGACGGGTGGAACGGTAACATGTTTATTGGGGATAGAAGTGATAACCACTGACAGGGATTAAATTACGAGGCGTAAGGCCCAGAGGCCACCAAAAGCAGATATGAGATACCGCAATTCATTTCACTATCATTTCGCTTGCGTTGTCGTCCTTACCCAAATCGCCTATTTGGCGCTACACTCCCCGAGTTCCTAAAAATGCGGTGGATGTTCGAACAAACATGATAATCAGTACTTGGTACTTCTGTTCTCATTAGCATCAAATGGTGTACGGCCGCTAAATTGTCCTGACATTCGATGCATGGTGGTTGTTCACAGACATCGATTCGCTACACCGCGCGTATCAAGCGTACAATGAGCTAAAGCATTTCTGGAAGCGACCTATTTCCTACTGGTGGAACCTAACGCTCCATCACCAACCGTCCAGTTGCATCGAAGCTTTCGATGTCATGCGCGCGGAGCTAAACTGGTATATGTATATCCCATGGTCAGATGTGATTCAAATTTTGTGAGCATATTTGTCTTATCAACACATGTTCATTTAAGGGAAGCGATCACAATGAGGAGGAAGCGCTTTGGGAAAGCATATGTACCACACGAAGCAACCACTTGGCTGCCAAGGAGGCAAAGTGTAGCGTTTTTACAACGAAAGACGCCCTGGTTGCTGAGCTGGATTTCGAAAGCACTCCATCCACAAAGGGGATCCGCCCTCCAGTTCACTTTTTGATTACGAGCTGCGTTACTAGCAGCGGCGCAAACGGAACATCTTGATTAAAATCTTAACGGTAATGGTGCCATCAAGCGCATTGCGATGAACTCGTTCACAACTCTTTCTGATCTATTGCCTGTTGCTGAGTGAGAACCAACGGCCAAAGAAGGGGGTCCCGTTCCGCGTTTCCGTGACAGATTTTTCTGCTTTTTCCCCACTGGCGTATCATTGAACACCATCACGTCACAGTGAACCCTTTTTCGTAATCGCTGCCATCAAAGGCGGAGTACACGATGAAACTGTAGTTCACTGGAAATAAGCTTAGAGATGCTCGGTTGAGCAGGGATCAAGAAAAAACATGAGAAACGGCCCGGAATCCGAAAAATGGGACCCCTTCCTTTCCCGTTGACTTCCGCACTAACGCGATTCTCATCGTTATGCCATCCTGAAAGCTAACGCATGGCTCTCCCTACTATCTGACCCCCCGCCGTGTACAGACTTGCAGTGAGTGATTAGGTAGTCGGTAGGCGTTTCGGGCCAATAGGGCTGCGGGAAGGCCATGCTAGACCGCCAGGAGAATATTTTTCGATGACAACTGTGTGTTGATTTCATCCTTAGGGGCCATTCTGTTTCTCTACTAGGTAACTTTCCCCTTCTCTGACCTTCGTTCTTATTGCGGAATTTTCCTCTATAGAAGAATTAGTCTTGCCGGTGATACTCATGATGGAAGAAATCTTTTGGAATAGCACGAAAGATCAGCTTGGGTTCGCATACATCCTGCACTCGTCAAGTCACTGGAACCAGCGACTTCTGTGTTTAAATATCAAGAAACAAACATGATCCGCTGCTTCCCGTCAGTGTCGGTGTCCTTGTCCTTAGCACCACCATTCCTTTCGCTATATTTTCTTTCCCTTTCGGACTCCTCTGTTGATGTCGTCTCATCATAAGTTAGACGTTCTATATCTGTGCCACTGTCGCTTTTCTGAATTTATGAATGAAATATTGTGCAATGTTTTGAGCTTGCACGAGCTCAGCTCCAGAAAAGCTGGACAAAAAACTTTGGGCTTCAGTATGGCACCCTATTGACCAATTTCTATTTGGATCGAATGGAAATGTATCTCCAACTCTGAAAAATATATGATGGGGCAACACATGTATCAAAATATTGTATTTTTGTAATAAATTGTCGCTACATTCATGCCAAAGATGTCGGGAAATCGTGTGTTGTCATAGTATACAATTAACTGAGTGAATGGAATTATTATAAAAAAATTAATTCCAGAAATAGAAGTTCCCAATTGCATAGTTTATGTTCTCGTAGAAAAGTTTATGATGCATGCATGGTGTTTAAGTTGCTAACCGCTATGGCCCAAATTGATGCATCCAAATTCTATGTTAAGGTGAGATCTAGAACCAGAGGAGGGCTGGAGAAAATTTCATATGCAACGCCAAGAACTAACGTGAGGCTTAATTGCTTCACCTTTCGTGCGGGTTCTATATTTGTTTCTCTTAAACCAAACGTGGCACTCGTCACTCCCACTTTTGTGCTTTTCAAGCGCCTAGCTAGCAAAGAGTTGTTGAGTTATGGCTAGAGTATATATGAAAAGCTTGATGTGTTGTTGCCATTGTTGTTGTTTCCCACGACTGCCTTCTGCCGCGTTTAAATAAATAAGATAAACCCATCAAAATAAAATAAATAAAATTCGTGACTTTTTGTGACATTCTACGGGAATTGCTGTTATTTTGTGATGACGTCCACATATTACAGCCACTGATTTGCCTTAGATGTGGATTTGGTTCTCACTCCGTTCGAAAAAAAAAGGTTTTAGGTATGAGTCGGCACCCCTGTAATGGTTCAATCTGGAGTTCATCATAAGAGGAAGAGAGCTTCTTAGAACTGGTGAAACACCTTCTTTTCTAATTCACGATAAACACTAAGAAACTTACATCCTTTTCTGCATGAGTCTCATCCTTTTTGCTTGTACTAGTCTCACTCTTGATTCTAGAGAACAGGATGCCTCTGAAGAAGTTATGCCATGCTTTTATAATATATTCAGAGGCGAGAATTGTGCTGTGGCTAAGAGAATTGAAAATCTCAACGAAGGATGATCATTATTATTTTGGTGATTACGCTGTCAATTGAAGGAATTATTGTGTTTTTTATACGATCTCCCAAAAATTACAGTAACCTACACAGAAGCCTCACAACTAATTGTAAGAAATGACAAGGGAAACAAGTAACTACTTAATGAGGGTCAATAAAACCATATTACTCTTCCATGTAGCCACCGTCTGCTTCGGAAAAGGGGGAATCCGAAGAATGCAGTGTGCAGATAAACGGAGTGCGTCGCCGGCATTCTAAAGCAGTTTCTCGAATCCAGCGATGCTTCCCTGATCTCAAAAGCAGGTTTCTTCTAAAGCAGGTTTCTTCTTCACACTCCGTACGAAGTAATATGGTGGATTTACGTAGGGAGAATCAGGTGCTCACTTCCCAAATGTGATGATCTTTGGACAGCTCAACTTTCTAGAGCTTTGCGCAAATTTGGTCGTGGTCTCGTGAGTTCTGCAGATGTTCAGCGTTGTTGCAATTTCTTCAAAGGTTCCTTCAATTAAAGAAACCATTGTGTTCAAGAAAAGAAAAGGAAATACTTCTTGCTTTTCTAAAGCTTTGTGGACTCCTAACAAGAGTCCACAAAGCATTAGAAAACGTGCGATAGACGGAAAGAGTTTCAATGGATATGCTTAACCATGGCTACTCAGAAATGTAGCTTTTTTCGTTTCTCTTTTCCATGACTAATCCATAGTAAATTAAGTAAACATAAGTAAAATAATAGTAAAATGCGGTCAACATAAATTCAAGAACCTTTTTCCTTTTGAAGTTATGGAGCGAAGTTCCAGCATTGGGAACCAGTACTGCTTGCTCGCATTGCCCAGAATAGACCGAAACCATTTTCTGTCTTGAAAGGCCTTATGGAGTGTTCATAGTTGGCGATTAGGCGAAGGCGACCAGTCTACATGAAAAATATACGTATAGATTAGGCGAGTAGGCGAGTAGAGACACATAAGAGACATAGACACATAAGAGACCGAAGTATTCACTAAATTCAGCAAGAAGGGATTACTTACATTACATAGCTGTACAAAGAACGGGTAGAAAACTAAAAGCATTTCCTGATTTGCACACGGCGCACTCTTTAGTCGCCAAAACTGAGGTGCATAGGCATATTAGCTTCTCACCCCTACACTAGACTACTAGTCGTTAAGAGCAGATCTTGTCAAAGTGTTGCATCCAATCCAGATATCACCTGATCGCCTACTCGCCTAATCGCCTACTCGCCTACTCGCCTGATCGCCTACTCGCCTAATCGCCTACTCGCCTGATCGCCTAATCGCCTAATCGCCTATCGCCTACTCGCCTGATCGATACGTATCCTTTGCTCACCGCCTGATCGCCTACTCGCCTACTCGCCTAATCGCCTACTCGCCTACTCGCCTAATCGCCTAATCGATCTGTATACTTTTCACTTTGAATCATCGCCTAATCGCATAATCGCCTAATCGCACGCACGATCGCCAACTATGAACACTCCATTAGCAGTCGTACGTAGGAACTTTTAAACTTTTCTTTCAAAACAACTGAAGTTCCATGCAAGTTTTGTGCGGTCGAGGACTCAATTCGTTGGCTTTCTTTATTTCTCCGTCATCTAGAGATAGAGGTCAAAATCCACATTCTCCGTCCTCAGGTCCTTTACCTCAGTCTTCGAAGAGATGAAACCATAGCTGAAAGTGGATTAGATACTAAGTGTTACTGCTCAATGTTTGGCACACAATGAGCGAGATTCGTTGGCCGTTTTTGCTTGCTTGAATATAGACGCTAAGACGATGATTCCTGATAATCATCCTTGAGCAAAAGCTTTGGATCGAAGAACATCCGCTCACTGGCGCCGAGTATTTCGCAGTATGCGTGCTGAATCGCTCTCTCGTATGAACGATTTCTCATCCTGACAGCTTGTGTTTGAGCTAAGAAATAATGGCACAAACGGAAGCAACACTTCAATCTTGCCAACCTAATATATACTACTGTAGAAAAAACAACGAATCTTTACGCGTCCAGTCCCTAGAATATTCTGTCTTCTGCAATAGCATCCAAATTCTGACACAATACTTGATAAGAAGAAAAAACATGTCGCGCACCGAGGTGTTAAAAAAGACTTACTTGTAAGCTTTTACGAGTCGCCATAATCGTGATGCAAAGTGATAGTTGGATAGTGTAGATGTGAAACTATTGTATGAGGTGATAGAGGAGGCAATCGTTTCTCACGAACTTTTTATACGGCACACATTCGAGTCCCAATACAAAGCTATTTAATAAGTGAGAGTGAAGTGCCTCTTTGAGTGATTCGGAAGTGATATGACGTTGTCACAACGCCTCTAACCACTGCTCAAATTCCTAGCGGCAACAGAATAGCAGAAATCTATCAGGATCAGTAGTGTAGGGAAGAAGAAATGAGGAATCAAAAAGTGTGCAAGGGGCAGAGACCACAATGTTTCTATAGCCGGCGGACGTTGTGAGTACTTCTGAAATGATGTGGGATTAACAAATGGCCACGATTGTAGTTTAATAATGAAACTTACTTCGAGGTTTCTGTTGAATTCGAAGTTTTCCCAGGTTTTTGCCGAGCGGAAACTTTCGAAGAGGTTTTGCCAGGTTTTTGCCGAGCAGAAACTTTCGAAAAAGTTCTGCGAGGTTTCTGCCGAGCAGAAATCTTCGGCTTGATGCTCCCGTCTTTTTTGGCTTTCTTAACGCTCTGAAAGAGGGAGAAAGCAACTAAAAACTAGCTCCTGAGAACGATGGGGTAACGACGTTACCTTTTGTTTTGATAGCGCTTCTTTCTCAGCAGATATCGAACAAGGCTCGCCTCCTGAAAGGAACCACGAAAAGAATTGTGGGCAGATGTGGGCTCTGTCCGAGGTAAGCAAACCAGCCCTTTTGGCGTTTCTGCTGGGACCGTATGCTCAATGTTGGGGAGGGGATGGCGTTCCCTACGGTCGACGTACTATTTCAACTCGGTCGGTACGGTAGGAGAATAATGACGCAAGTAGTGCAGCTGGGCCAACAGCTCCACCAAAAGGGCTGATTTGATTACCCCGGGACTGAGCCTTGGAAAGAGGACGGACCTGCGCTCTCTCCTAGGTCCGTCCTCTCTTTGAGGCTCAGTCCTGAGGTAAGCATCAAATTGAGGCGGTTTCAAGGAACGAGTTAAAGGCAAGATTCAAGCTTAAACTGATGAGGTAATTCTACTCAAATGTGATGTGGGAGTGGGAGGTGGACCGCCAGTGAAGAAAAAAGGAAAAGAAAACGTGAAATACACAGGAAATACGACCGTTTTGCTCTACATTGCGGCGAAGTTCAAAAGGCCGGCAGAGAGGTGAGAGATAATGTGAGCGCGGAGAGCGGTAGAGAAATCCGAGAAGAGAGGGCATAGCAGCTCAGCATTGCGAAGCGGACAAAATATCGAGCGGTGGGCGGAGCGTGTCGCGGCAGGAGGAGCGTGTCAAAGTCCTTAGCCACTAGCGCTTCAGTGACGCATTTCGATGCGGGGTTTTGGCGAGTCGCTTACAGTTGTGTCCCATGCGTTTCTAGCCACTTTAAGGGCTCATTAGGTGGGTCTGAGCCCGAACTTTGCCTTTAAGTAATCCGTCGACCAACGGGGACTCCATGCACTCTCCAACATTCAGCTTACGGCCCCAGTAGAACGCCAAACAAGATGGTTTGCTTACTTCGCTTTGCCCTAGTTAGGTGGAGAAGCTACCTTCACGGGAGCCCATCGCGCAAAAGAAGAATTGGATAAATCACTTGTCCTTTCAAATCCTCGCTGTTATGGACAGTGTATTTTCTACACTGTCCGTAAGGTTAACCATTGGGTTTTACATCAACAGGAGGTAATCAAATCAAGCATATTCCTGGAACCACTTCGAGCCGGACTAAGGTGCCACACTGAAGTACGGTTTGTCCCATGAATACTGCAACACATATTGAGCTTCAGTTATGAGAGGGTGTAGCCTTTTCCCTAAGGTTGGCATACCTTCACTTTTTGTAACCTCTTGTGAATAACTTTGCCAAAGTGCACGGCTTACCATTCGTGTACATCTCATTTTGTACCTGAACCTCAGTAGAGGACCTAATAAGTCATACAGCTAGGTCCGGCGATGAATATCGCGCTTCTTTCAGCTTTAGCCGTTCCGTGGCCTACTGTGTCTCGAAGAGAAGACCAATTAAAGTAGCCTTTGTTGCAGCCGCCACACAGTTCTGACATCTTGGATCTGATGAAAGAGCGAAATGACTGCTATACCCGGGTTGGCTCGGGGAACGTGACCAGAACGGAGCTTCTAGACACAGTCATATAGAGAGTGGTCAGATAACCATTGCTCACAGTCCATAAAAGTTGCACAAGCAACACAGCTCAATCCAACGGGAGGAGCACAGCAGAGAAAAGTAGTTCAAAGGGTGGTGTTGAAGGCCATGGTGATCACGCGAGCACAGCTTTCTTCGACGATAGAATTCCTCAATTGGAGCAGAGCCACAATCGTCAGTCTCTGAGTAGACCCTCACGAGATCCTGTGGAAGCCAATGAGAGTGAAAGGAATGTTCGCCTCAGGCAGCAGTCAACCTTTCTCACAATTTGGGCAAAGGTCTCAATCCGGTCGCTCACCACAACTGTCTGTTCAAAAGCGAATTAATCTCGACACAGACCATAGCCAGCGAATGTCCCAGTGCACCATCTGCTACTAACGATAAGGTATCTAGCTTCTCCAAGGAATGAACTCCCTTTCAAAGGTCGCCAGCTTTTGCGTAAGTGTTAAAATCGTCTAGAACGGGCCTTATAATACTGTTCCCGATGTCACATCCAAAACGGACTCATATCTCTCGATTTCAGCCGGCTGGACCATCTTATTTGGGCTATATTAAGGGACAGAACTTGCACTAAACAATGCACTCAAGCAGAGTAGCTAAAGCCCTTTCTCTATGTAGGAGGTTTCAAAGAAGGTATTTCAGGATGCCATGCGGAAACACTAGAGTCGTGTTCGAAGCAACTGAAAGCCATACTCACAGCGATAGGTACTTATCGACTAACAAGGGAAGGATACCAAGTCGAAGAGGCCATTCGTAACGAGACCTACACCACTAAATGTGTTTTTAGACACCGATCTAGAATCTGCTCTCCAAATCTGCGGAACGAATCTCTGAATGTAGTTTTGAAGCGAAATAGTGCAGTGGCAGCTGCCAGGACCGACGAGCAATAGGTCGTGGGGAGAGGATTACGGCAGCAATAGTAGCTCAACAAATGAGCACATGGTACTTTTTGGCGAGCTGTCAGTTTTGCTTTTGAAGACATTGTTTAAAGGAATCTCATTCATGCTATATCATCAGAACTGGCTATCCTACCAAGTGGATAGAGCTGGCGAAGAGCTTCGAAACTATGCCTATGGAGCGTCATTTGCCGTTTCCAGTTTCGGTCGTGTGTGCCCATATTTCAGCTTCACGTCGAAGTTTTAGATTTCGACCAAAAGTCCTTGGAAGGGGTAGTCTGACACGCTGAACAAGAATATCATATCTGGGCACGAAAGTTCTTGACATGTGCGCTACGAGAGCCAGAGGCGGTTATTTGCGAATGACGCGCATAGTGTTCGAAGCTCTTCGCCAGCTCTATCCACTTGTAGGATAGGCAGTCGCTGATGATTCAGCATGAATGAGATTCCTTTAACACATTTACAACGACGCCCCTTTTCCACTTTTCGATCGCGCGGGACGAACGCGATTTTGTGGGCGCAGCCGCCTCACCACATATCCGAACAAAAACAAAATGTAAATGAACATAAACATGAATGTAACAAAAAATTTCTGCAATGTCCCATGCGTAAAGATTATCTTAACATATAACAATAGGATTTCGATCAAAACGACAAATAGTGGTTCCGAAAATAGAGCATTTATTCACTTTCCGCGTGACGGGATTTAAAAGCATTTTACATTCGATTACGAAGTTTGTCCACATATCTGTCCATTCCTAGCGCCTGGCAAGCGATCATCAGTTGGCAGCCCATATGGGCGGCCATCGGCGTGAATGTGTTAAACAGTGTCCTCTAAAAAAAGCAAAGCTGATAACTCATCAAGAAGTCGATCCCACCACCTACTGTTCATCGGCTCGGGCCGCTGCCACTGCACTATTTCGCTTCATAGCTACTTTCAGAGAATCGTTCTGCAGATTTGAAGAGCAGATCCAAGATCAGCTTCCAAAAAAACATTTAGTGGTGTATGTCTCGTTACAAATGGCCACTTCGACCTAGTATCCTTCCCTTGTTAGTGTCTTTCCATTCAACATCTTAATGACGACTGAGAAATGTGGGCGACCACTTGAAGCGGTGTACTCTTTCAGAGAGATTACAAGTTGAGAAAAGTGTTGCAGCATTTATGGAACACCCTGTGAAGCGAAAAAACACATAAACAGCTGGGCCAAATTGAAGCAGTTTCACGGGTGGTGTAATCGGTAGCAGTACTGCCCGGAAGCCAAGAGCTGCAGCTTCGATTCTCGCCTGGCGAGGTCTGCCCATAGCCCTGCATTCTCGTAGGGCTGCGCAATACGAACTGCGCTAAACAGCAGCCAACAAACAAGGAGCACTCATGCACTTATTGCCAGAATTGCTAGCAGCTTGCTAAAATTCGGAAGGTTTTTATGGAATTTTCTGGAAGCTATCAGCAGTTAGTCTGGGGATTATTGACGCAGTTCATATCTAGCAGTTGTAGACAATCATTTACAAGATTGATCGGTCGTCCAAATCTTCACTATTAATAATTTCAATTGCTTTAGTTGGCCCTGCTTCGTGGTTCGTGAAAGGTCTGATTTTAATCCTCACGTAATATTTTCTCGAGAAAAGTATATTTCTTGACCAGGATGTTACAGGTTTTCCTGCCTAGTTTCTTCATGGCACTTCGGAGTCTGAAAGAACAAGATACTGATGAAAGAGAATTTGTGATCCGAAACCCTCACCTCGATGATGCGTCCTTGGTGCTGAGTTTCTTTTCATGCACGAGGTGAGCAAGCATTCTCACCTGAGGTGGAAGGAATTTCGAGGAAGAGCTACAAAACTGGTGTCATTGTACTGACCAGAACAACGAAATCACGCGCTTGGTCATCCTTGTCCAAAAGGTCACGGAGCCCACTTATTGCTTTTTGAAGTCTCGTGCTCTCATGAATTTCGGTTTTGTAGGCCCACGGCCCGATCATGTGGCTGGCTAGGTCCCGAACGTCAACTGTAAATGAAAGTATTCTTCTGGGTACATGAATATAAGGGTGGCACATAATTTTTGAGGCAAAGTGGACTTATTTGTCTTTGTTTCTTCTGCCTTTCGAGGTTGATAGGGGGAACATTTATTCAATCGGCCTGACGTTTCGACTAAATCGTCGTCTTCTGAGGCCTAAACGTGGTTTAAGGTTGAAATTCACGATCTAATCGACCAAGCGCCTAATCTCCTCTAGCGGTTCCGACTTTCCGCCGGGAGTCCCACCGAGAAACATAAGCAAAACGATTTTTTGAGCTCACCCAGGGTTCCGCCGTTTGTGCGGGAATCCCGCTTCCGCACAAAAGCGCCGGTCAGTAAGAAATAAGGCACACCGTAATGTCTCCTGATTCGAGTAATCGCTGGGAGACGCACGTACGCTTTATTCTACAGCTCGCAGTGAGGTATAAACGGCGAGAGAGCACTTGTTATTGAAGGGCGTTCATCCCGGCCGTTCATCGCTGGATTTCTAGCGGAAATCCAGAATGCTTCCAGATGCTTTTCTAGCATTATTTTTTCCGTCTCAATGTCAATCTTCAGAACATTCACGCATCCAATCCTTCAAATATTCGCGAAATTCACGCCATTGTGCTTGTATCGTCACGTTATTTTTCACAAAGCGTTGAACGGAGTACCGCGGCCTCATAAGATTAGCCAAATGTTCTCTTTATGAGGACTGAGCTGAAACTCCTTTCTGTTATCTTCCATATAGGTGAGTCCTAGCAAAGCCGGTATTCACGCATTGTTAAATTACATCCTTATATTAGTTACAATCCCAATTACCGTAAGGCAAAGAACACAGCCGTTCTATACGCACTGTTTATCATAGAGCCTGTGTTCGACCAATGGCCGTCCGATGGTTTTTCGTTGCGAAGATATACAACTGACATGCGTTCTGCAGCTGTTTTCTTTCTAATACTCCGTTTGAATAGCAGCGCTCCTTCGTCTAGATATAAAGAGCGTGAGAGCATAGGGTAACTTGAATTTGCGCGCGGCTATTCCTCTTGGCGAGAATATGCCGCTTGCGCGTTTGACTCTGGTTCCACCGACATAAGCGTTTGCCAATGTATATTATTTGGGGTAGTGCCATGAGTCGTGTCAACGTCTTTTTAAGAATCTGCCTGTCTCACCCTTGTTGCCAGATTGCTAAACAGTATTTCCGACAAAATAGCACTTTAAGAGCGTAGCGCTGTGAGTGCAGCTCGTTCGCGCGTGGTATATCAACATGTTTTGCGAGGCCCTTACTTTATGCGGGGTAGTTTATTGGGGTTTTTGGTATCGCGATGTTCAGCACTGTTGCGATGTCCACTGGATTAATGTTGACTTGCGTGTTGAGCGTAGGGCAACACAACCGTCGTGAGGTGTTTCGCGATGTGAGGGCTTGATTTACTAGGGGGATTGTTTTCAATTCATTTAGTCGCGAAACACTCATTCCATGTTCGCATTGTGCCTCGTTTAATAAATGAAACAGGTATATCAATATACCAGATTTGGTCACCGTGAACCAGCCGGGACCTTCCATTTCGTGGCACGCAAGCTTTCATCCGCCGCTATGCGTTCCTCTTCCTTCCGTGTGAGCACGCAACACAGGGAAGTGCACGGTATGCAACATCAGAATTTGAGGTTTTCATACAGTAGAAGGACACAAATCGTGATTTATGGCGGTAGATTTTCGCTTCCCTTCATCCTTCTTCTCTTTTCCACTAGCCTCCAGGCTTGCCTTACTGCAGCGCGATGCATGAATGAACGGAAGTCTGACGGGAAGCAGGTGTTTTATAGCCCTAGAGTGATTATTCACATCGTATCCTGCTAAAAAAACAAGCTTGATATCTCAAATCCTGTAAGCTACCCGATTTGCTTTTAGGGTTTGTTTTATCGTGAGCTTCCTTCTTACTCAACTTCATTTTGCGGACGGAAGACATCCCCCGCGTTACAATCATACATACATACTACAACGTCACACACACATAAGATAACAACGACACACAGATGTTTAGCCGCTTTATATAATAGAAGGATCGTACAGTACGATGCAGAGGCTAGACGTTCCAGAGCACCGGTTGCTTATTCTTTATCGCGGGATAAGAGCCGAGCGGAGAGGGGACTGGTGCTAAGCGGGTTAGCGGCGATTGCGAGCCCTCATAAATCGTAGATATGAGTGTATGTTCCTGCCCACTTAAAGATGTTACAATTTAAGCATTCCTTGATAAGAGTCATTGTGCACGTTTTTCCGGGTCCGAACAATCGTATACTAAGTACATGCCTATCAAGCATTTCGGACAATGCTTGCAAGGCTTGCTCGTTTTGGACGTTAGTGTAAAGTGATGTTACATCAAATGACTCCATCACTGCACTCTCCTCAATGTGAAAATAGTGTAGAATTTCAAGGAACTTATTTGTATTGAGCAGGTGAGAGGGAACCATGGGCAAAAGTTGCGGTTGGTCCCCCCATGCAACTGATAATAGGACGAATTTTGTACGTATCCGTTGACATCGACAGAGTATCATGAGAATCAAGCTTGTGGGTCTTCATGAGGCTGTAGAAAACCGGACAACTTGTATTATCTAGTTTGAGACCAGTAACGAACTTTTCGTCGAAGCCTACTGACTTTGCCGTGCACACCCATACATGATTCAGTCGCTTACACTGTGACAAAAAGTCCCTTTCACTCACAAGTCGATAGACGGAGGAGTCCCGCAAATGCGCTTCAGTTATGGCACGGTCAGGTGACTGTGGCATAACAACGAATTCACCACCCTTATCACTGACAGATATGCGTATGGAACCGTTAGATCTTATCTCACGTAACTCCCTCAAACCCTGCCATTGTTCGTATGTCAAGTTTCTGTTTCGGTGCCGTTTATAGTGATTCAAAACGGCAAGAACGTTAGCTGACAAATTTCTAAACTTGACATCGACTTCGTGTGACGGCTGAGGTTCTCGATAGAATGTTCGCGGGAACGGTGCCCGTAAAGAGCTGTCTGATCAAAGTGTGTGTTTTGCAGTTCCTCACGACGCCCTGTACTAAGGCGTAGTAAGTCTCTTAGCCTCTGAAGTCCTCCAACTGCTTTCCGGAAAGTTTGGGCGTTGATGTTCTGTGAAGGCGAGAAAGACGGACCAAGACTTAACAAACTTAATGAATCGGCAGACAGATGAACGTCGCCGATAACAGTGACCCGCGTGGAAGAGCTATCATTGCGAGCTGACTCGTTGCTGTGGTGGTGGTTCCCGGGAGAATTGTTTGCACGGTTACTGGAAGTTTCTCGATGCGCACCCAACAGTCTATCGTATTTCGCACAAAGAGTCGACTTAGCCCTAGATCGAATAGAATCGCAAATTAACCTCGACTCACTCTCAATCCTCCTCCAACTCTGCTCTGACAAAAGATGTTGGCATGCGCTTTCTTTTGCTCTACATTTCAATAGCGACGAATAGAGCACACGCCGCTTTTCCCTTACCAGTTTTGCTCAGCCCGCTATCGCGCGCATCACACGGCAGGCCTTAGTGAAACTGAAAGACC